CCCCCCTTCCATATTATCTTTTTCTTGATTAGGTCGCCGCTACCCTCCCCTAACCACTTAAACTCCGGTTAGGGTTTTCTTAGGGTTTTTCTAGGGTTTAGGGTTCTTCTAAACCCCCTACTCTCCCGCCTCCTCCCGTCGGGCACCCTGGACCCGAACGGCTCCTCCCCCCCTCGAGCGATTTGGCGCGTTCTTTTCACACGCGACCCGCCAAATTCGGGGTGAGCCGACTCACACATAGTCACTCCGCTCCCGTGGTCCCCTTTCTCTTATCGGCGGGCCCCTCTCCCCMCACACCCCCGTGAGCTCTACCTCCCTTTCCCTTCCGACCATGGAAGGGAGTTCCTTTGAGGAGATCACCGCGGCGCCGTCCACCTCCCAGGTGAGCGTTCAGCCAGCGGGTCAGGGTTAGGCCCATGCGGACACGATGGACCTTCATGCCACCCTCGTAGCGATTCAGGCGCAACTTAGTACGCTTGGACCGTTGCAAGCGCAAATCAATGCGCTTGCCCTTGACGTCAACCGCCTCAAGGGCTCTCCTCATCACTCTCCCCACCGCTCCCATACCCCATCCCCTACCGACTCCGAGTCCGGCTCCCCGCGACTCCAGAGTCGGAGACATCTCGGTTCCCCCTCCTCTACGGGCCAGGCCCAACACTCCCCCGCAGTAGTGGCGAGTGTTGCTGCCGCTCAGACCACCCCGTCTGTTGCGGCAGTTCCCCCGGCCACGGCCGCCCCTACCGTCTCTATTACTGCCGTAGGTGCTGCGGTCCAGGTACCGCCTCGAGGCCCAGCAGTTTCATCGACCCACACCGGTGTTGCTTCCCAGCTTCCCGCACCGGTCGCGGCAATACGGCTCCGCCCTCTTCTTCCCGCCTTTGTGCCCCCACCCCCACAGCAGGGTACCGCCCTGGCTGGGATTCCTCCTCCCACTGGGAGACCCACTCCGCCCCCTCCACCTCCAACCCAGCGTACCAAGCGCGTGGCCACTTTACAGGCCACCATTGCGCAGGCTTAGGTGGAGATTCTCGCTCTGAGATAGCCTCACCCATCACAGGTTGCCCACCCTTCTTCCTCTACCACCCCTTCGGTCCCCATGATGCAGGCTCGTTTCCCTCGACCTTCTCCTCAACCTCTTCCCTCCTACCTGGCTATTCCAGGACAGCTGCCCGCGGCCGTTGCCTCCTCGTCTGCTGGCCCATCCGCTAGCGGCCACGGCCCACAGCCTTCCCCCACCTCTGCCCCTGCAGCGACCTCGACTTATGCTGCCGAAGTGCACTCGCCTCGATCTCTCTCCCCCCGCGATCAGCACAGTGGACATCCTCCTGTGCGCACCACGGACATTCCCGAGTATGATGGCACAACCCGTGTCTCTCGCTGGTTGCAGATAGCAACGCGCACGCTCTCTATGACGACCACCCGTCAGGAGTTGTGGTGCGATGTGCTCGCAACCAAATTGCGAGGTAGCCCTTCCACTGCATGGGAGGATCATTATACCCAGCGCCTCCGCGTGGGTGAGGTCCCCACTCTGGCCGACTTCGCGGCCTTCCTTCAGGACCGTTTCCGCGCTCGTCATGACGCCACCGACGCCTTAGACCGCGTCACCCAGACCAGATGGTCTGGGTCCTCTGTACCGGCCGACCTGGAACGTCACATCCGAGTGTTTCAGGACGGTCGCCTTGTTTGTGACGAGACGTTCCTACCGGAGGTCACACTCACCAACCGGTTCCTTGTCAGCCTGCCGACTGACTATCGCCTAGAGCTATGGAGGCGATCATTCTCTTCCGCGGAGCAGGCATACGAGGCTGCRCGTCAGTACCAGAGGATGTGCAGTCRCTTCTCCGTCGCCCCATCCTCTTCGCGGCCAGCCGCCACCWCTCAGTCTCGGGGTACCACCCRAGGTCGCTCCTYGTTTGCTGGTCGTTTTCGTCGCCCGACCCGCCCTAGAGCGTCATTCTCTCAGCGCTACAGTTCTCTGRAGTACGRCGAGGACGCCTCGGCCGAGTTTGACCCTACCCTTGGGGACGCCCCCGAGGACATCAAGCTACGAGACGTCATCCAGTATCACTTGGATGACGACACTGTTCCGGTGGCCGAGCGCTTGCTGATGGCCATGTCTGCCATGGGTCGTGCTCGTAGTCGGGTTGCACAGGCTGGCGCCCTCACACCCACGGTTCCTCAGATAGACCTCCCGCAGGGTTAKGTCCCTCCTCGCRGAGCTCTATCYCCTGAGGAGYRTGCCGCCCTYGAGGCCCGGCGCGGCTGCCTTCGTTGCCGCCTAGATGGACACACCTCCTCACGGTGTCCATACCATACCGCCCTCGAYCGGCACTACGCTGACATCTCTCGTCAGCGTCGATCTCAGTCCCCCCCCGGCCCCGCCCGGCCAGCCTCATCCACCTAGCCACGGTGTACTGTGCCCCTGAGGCCTCGCACGTAGCCGGCTTTCCGACCACCGAGTCGCGGTTTGCCCCTTTGGCTACCCCACCAGAGGACCCTCAAGACACGATAGACGCAGTTCTCTCCGCCCCATCGTCTATCGAGGTACCGTCTGCCTCCCAGCAGACTGCCGCATCTAGCGCTTCTCGCTTGAGACTTCCGACGCGTCGCGCCATTCGCGCAGCCCGTTGTGACGCTCAGCTGGCGACTCGCGATGACGTTGTGTCATCTTTCCTGGACTTGAGCATTCTGCAGGCTCGTTAGGAGCGCCTCACGAGACAGTCCTGCGTCGTCTTCTTGCCTTGCTCTCTGACCCTGATCGCACCCTACCCATCATCCCTATTCGCCTAGGGACATCTACGAGGGTGTACCGCGCTTTATGGGACTCTGGCTCGCAGGGAGATTTCGTTCACCCTCGAGTGGTTGAGGAAGCTCGCCTAGCTACCTCTGGGTCCCGCTCTCCTATCTCCGTTACCCTCGGAGATAACAAAACGCAACACTTCTTCGATCAGACGGTCCCCGACCTCCACTTCTCCCTCACCCTCCAGCCACCGAATAGTACCCAGGCGCCTCGGCGCTACCATTCCTCCACCTACTTCGACGTGCTGGAGACTGGGTACGACTTTATCCTTGGCACTCCCCGGTCTCGCCGGTTCCGTAGCACAGAGGCCGAATGGGCGTTTGAGACACTCATTCTCAAAACGAAGTGTGGTCAAACCCATCGAGTCCCGTTCATTGGAACCACGGGCAACACCCCTCCAAACCTACCTCCCGAGGACCCTCGTCCTTCTAAGTCCCACCCAGACATCTCCTTCACTTCTCCCCGTCAGTTTGCTCACTTCATCCCACAGGAGGACGTCACGCTCTACTTAGTGAATGTCATGGATCTTCTTCGCTACGATCCACTCTGTCCCGAGGTTGAGCTCATCTCACTGGAGCCCGATCCCCCTAACCCTTCCTCCATCTTCACAGCTCCCATCTCTACATCCACCCCGCAGCCTGCGGATACCCCCTCGACATCCCAGGTTCCTACGCCGTTCACTGCCGAGTCCACCCATACGCCTCCTGCCGACGCAGACGTTGAGGAACTCATGCGGTTCAAGGCTGACTTAGAGTCCGTCATTCGCGACCTGATTCGGGAGTACCGCGACGTCTTCCCCCCATATTTCTCATACTGCGGGATTCCCCCGATGCGTGGTGTCGAGCATTCCATCCAGCTCGTGCCTGACTATCGTGTTCACCATCAGGCACCATACCGACTCTCTATTCCAGAGGCAATGGAACTCAAGCGTCAACTTGAGGAGCTCCTTCGACTTGGTTTCATTAAACCTAGTAACTCCCCTTGGGGTGCACCTGTCCTCTTTGCTCGCAAAGCGGACGGAACTCTCCGCCTCTACATCGATTATCGCGGCCTTATCCGTTACACGGTTAAGAACAACTATCCCATGCCCCGCGCGGATGAGCTGTTTGACCGTCTGGCATGCAAACGCTTCTTCACGAAGATCGATCTTCGTAGCGGTTACCACCAGATCCGCGTTGCCACAGAAGACCAGCCGAAGACTGTCTTTCGGTCGTGCTTCGGCCACTACGAGTTCATGGTGATGTCATTCGGCCTCACCAATGCACCCGCCACCTTCCAGACGGTGATGAACGACATCTTTAGGGACATCCTTGAAGAATACGTTCTCGTATACCTGGACGACATCCTGGTCTACAGTCGTACCTTAGAAGACCATATCAGACACCTCCGCGATGTCCTACAGCGCTTACGCAAGCATGGCTTCTATGCCAAGCTCAGTAAGTGCCGCTTTGCCCAGCGCAAAGTGGACTGCCTAGGACACCATGTGTCTGACCAGGGTCTCCACATGGACGACGCGAAGATCACTGCTATTGCAGAGTGGCCCGTCCCCACATCTGCCAAGCAGCTTCGCAGCTTTCTAGGCCTCACCAGCTACAATAGTAATTTTATCCAGGGATACGCTAGGTATTCCTACGTCCTTACCTCCACCCTCCTCCGGAAGAACCCGCCGTGGTTTTGGACACCCCTCTGCGAGGACGCCTTCCGCGCCCTCAAGAAGGCGGTGACTTGCGCGCCGGTTCTTCGTCTTCCCGATTTTGATCGTCCCTTTATCGTCACCACTGATCTCACGTGTTTCCCTCTCCTCCAGATTCACCTTACCCCCATGTTCCTCCTTTCCCCCCCCTTCCTGCTGACACTACTTCTCGACTGATGCCTATCCTACCACCACTTCCCTBTACTGACAGTCCTCCCATTACTTACTCCCCGACCATCGCGGAGGATGGGACTGTCGAGGCTCGTGCTGGGGATTGCCCGATCGCTTTCTACTCCCGTCAGCTACTACCTGCCGAGATAAACTACACTGCCGATGAACGTCAGGTTCTCGCAGTAGTTTATGCTACCCGACGTTGGCGTCATTATCTGCACGGGGCGCCCTTCACGGTGCGCACGGACAACTCAGTTGTCCAGGCTTTCCTCACGAAGCCTAAGCTTTCCCCTCGACAGGCACGCTGGTGGCGTGACTTATCCGAGTTCAGTTTCACCACTCAGCCCATCAAGGGTGAAACGAACCGCATCGCCGATGCCTTGTCCCGCCGTCCTGATCACAATCAGAAACCCATCCATCTTGCTGCCATCTCCATCACTAGTGTTGATCAGTCGGTGATCGACGCGTATCGCACTCAGTACCGCCACTGCCCCGATTATCGCGTCATCCACGCGACACTGCAGAGTGGCAAGACCGTTCCTTCCTACTCCCTCGGGGATCCCTCGGGGAGAACGGCCTCGTGTACTGGCATGAGAAATCTGGTCAGCTAGAACCACGTATCTGCGTTCCCTCCATCGGACAGCTCCGCATCCAGGCTGTAGCAGAGTTCCATGACCAGGCATTTGCCAGTCATATGGGTTTCCACAAGACGTTGGCTCGTGTTTGACGCCTATACGTTTGGCCGAAGTCCAAGGACTTTGTCAAAGCCTACATCCAAGAGTGTCCTACCTGCCAGGAGGTGAACAGTGCGAACCACCTTTCGTATGGGTTACTTCAGCCCCTACCCATACCTGAAGGTCGTTGGCAGTCTATCTCGATGGATTTCATTGGTCCCCTCCGCCCACCCACTCAGCGCGGTCATGATGCTATCTTGGTCGTCGTCGATCGCTTCACGAAGCGTGCACGTTTTGTTTCGTGCCGCTATCGCATTAGCGCTCGTGAGGTCGCCGACATCGTCTTCGACCGAGTCGTGAGAGATCATGGCTTACCTCAGAGCATCATCTCCGACTGTGACCCGCGGTTTACCAACACATTCTGGCGACGCCTACACGAGGTGTACGGATCCCAGCTCCTCTTCTCATCGTCTTACCACCCTCAGACGGATGGTCAGATTGAGGTCACCAACAAAACTCTTGGTAAGCCACGGGGATGTCGCCATTCTATTGCTACCACCCTCGCGTACCTGCGAATTTCCTACGACCATCGCGGTTGCGCCCAGACACTCGTTGCCCTGCGCTTGACGACTGGATCGCCCACATGGCGGCAATTATGAAGCGCGCAGACGAGAGTTTAGCCGACTCCCAGACTCGCATGGCCACACGAGCGAACCGATCACGAATGGATCATCCATTCAAAGTCGGTGACGATGTGCTCGTCGACGCACGCCACTTACAGCTCGAAGCAGATATRCTTCGCAAGTTCAGGCGTCGTTTCTTCGGTCCATGCCGCATCCTTCAGGCCGTCGGCTCTGATACTGCCGCTAGTCCGGTCAGCTTCCGTGTGAAGCTACCTGATTACCTTCGACAGACTCGCGTACACGATGTTTACCACGTCTCCTTGCTGCGTCCTTATCGCAGACCGTCCGAGCGCTTCGCCGGACGCCCTTATGAGCGTCCTCCATCTATCATGGTGGACGGTCACGAGGAGTTCGTTGTTTCCGACATCGTATCACGCCGAGTTACCGACGATACCCCTCCACGCATCGAGTACCTTGTGCGTTGGAAGGGCTACCCTGATGAGGAGGCTACTTGGGAGCCCCTCGAGCACTTGCAGCACGCCAGGATGTTGGTGCGTGCATATGATCGTGCTCGTCGTGCTGGGACATCTACTTCTACTCAGCCGACTGACCCTCTTCCTCCTCCTCCGGCTGAGGAGATCGCTGAGGATGAGCCGGCTCCCTCTGAGGCCGTTCCTCAGCTGCAGATGGTCGCCTCCGAGCGTCCACAGCGCACTCATCGTCGCCCTTCACGTTACGATGACTGACACTCTTATCCTCCATCTTTCCCCACTGACTCACACCATCAGGTACTCCATCATCAGCTCTTCTTTAGGATGTCAGCGTTTTGCGGCTCTGCTTCGACATCGACTCGACTGCTACTTCATCGACGTCATCAACCGATTCGACGACTTCAGCTACCTTATCGGCTTCAGCTACTTTGGGCGTGACTTCTTCACACCACCACCCTACCCTGTACATTCTCTTGCATCTGTCGCATGTTGGTTCTCACTTAGCTGGGTCTCTTTGAGTTGGGCTCTCCCTTGGTATCACATAGGCATTGGGACCGTAGCGTTATCTTGGCTTCCCTGCTCCCAGATCTAGCTCCTTCCTCCCCCAGTCGGTGAGTTGTGTGCATGTTTCCCTCACCCACTGCCCTCATCACCCTAGTGCCGGCCCTTGCATGCCTTCAGTTAGGCATATCTCCACCCTATTCCATGCTCCCCCTTTTCATGGTCGACCCTGCATGGTGTCACCCTTGTCGAGCATTACCCGCCTTGATGGTCTATCTGTTAGGGTCATTGGTTTTGTTTCGCTACCACTCTCCCACCTTGAGCCTGATGACCTATCCCACCTTCATGTGTGACTGCCCTTAGGAGTTTCGATTCTTAGGCTGCATTCAYCCCCTCTGAGACCATCCCACTTTTAGTGGTTCAGCGACATGACATTATCTTGTGACATATTGCTCTTCTCCTTTCAGCACTGAGACCACTGCCTCCAAGACTTTAGGAGTGTATCATACTACATTTCATTTTCTGTTGTTAGCTAGGATATGTATACCAGACATTTGCTTTTCTTTTGACATTATATAGCTTAGGATGCATCGCATGGACTCTGCATGGAGCTTGCTCGCATCCTAGATTTCTCAGCTTTCTTTATTGCAGAGTTCCGCKGCTTTTGCGGATAGCGTGTTTATGGCTCTTGCGATCCATTACAGGTCTGAGGATCGTGCAGCGGGCCTTCATCTGCCCTGGCCCACAGCCAGGGCCTATTTGGCTATTTGACAGTCCGGCCTGTGGGACCAGGCCGTGGCCTGACCCCACAGGCCGTGCGGTTATTCAGTCCAGTCCAGTTCAGTCCTGCCCGGTACCACTGTCGGTACCAGGCCAGTCCAGTCCAGTCCAGTCAGTCTGCTGGGGGTATACCCCAGGTGCAGTCTGTTTTGTGGCTCATTCTTCATTTGCACAGATTGGAGTACGTGCGTGTTGATTATGCGTTGGAGCTGCGCTGTCCCTTCCAGTCCATCTCCATCTCCCCTATCCTCATCCCTTCGTCTTAATTCTGACAGATTGCCATCCCGGCGGGTCCGTCACAGGGAATGTCGTTTTTCAAATTTTCAACTGATGTCGAGCCCCCACGGGGTCTCGGAATTGTTTTTCGATCGTTTCGGAATTTCTTTTTGCAATTAGGACTTAGACGAGGAATTAAGGTACTCTGAATTTTGTTGCGCCGCGCTTTTTGCTTGCGAACATTTTACCGCGCTAGGAACTAGGCTTTGACTAGACCGCACCCTTAATCTTGTGTGTAGCTGTAATTTTGGCGGACGCAATTGTAATTGTATTTCTCTCCTTCTTGATTCTCATGCTTCCCCGCTTTCTTCTTCTTTGACGCGCATGCTTCGTCCTCTGTTCTAATTGGCCCGATCATGCTATAAATTTCACAAGCGCGATTAGTTTGCTCTCTATGAGCTTCGAGGTTAGCGCGATCAATGAGGGTCGGCTAACGTGTCAGCTTGAGAGGTGAGTCGACGAGAGAGTTGGGCGATCCGACAAGCTGGTGCCGAGTATGCGGGGTTGACGTGTGGGCCACGATGGACTGTGGCGCACGGGCGAACCTGGCATGCATGCTCAGACCAAGCGGGGTGACAACTCTGGGTTGATGCGCGGCGACAGACTGTCCGTATCTGAAAGTGGTGTAGAGAGAGAAAGAGAGAGAGAAAACAGATGTGTGAGGGATGGTCTCTTTCTTCCAACCTTCTATATAAATTTTGATTCCAACGTTGGCCAATTATGTTACAACAATTTCGGATTCCCTTGTGAATCGTCTCGGATTTTCTGTGTTTTTTCTGGTTCTTGTGTATGGATAATGGATTGAATTAACTTGCGTCATTCTCTCACTTCTTCTCGAGTGATCTTTTTGGTTTTTCAATTTTGTTTTGTTCTGTAGCGCTTGCTTAATCCAAATTTTGTCACTTTCTAGTATCCATCTGGGATTTGCAATAACCCCGGATCTCGTTGGATATGCTCGTCGTACATGTTTCGGTTCGATTGTTAGCTTAGATCTTCTTGTGATCCCGAGAATACTGTGATATATTGGCCCTCGATGCCGAACCGATTGCTCCCTTCTTCCTTCCTTCGTCGCATGAATGGCATGAATATGTGTGTAATGACTGAATCTCACCCGGAATGACGATGCTGTAAGGGAAGGGTAGTTGCATGCATAAGGGATAGGATCGATACGCCGACACAGGCCATCCAATGCGAGAAGTCATGGTCTGAACCATTCTCGCTCATGCGCACACTCGCGTATGACAGCGATCCCGAACAGGGGAGTCGCAACATACGCGCGCGTCTACATAAGACGACCTCGATCCCGACTCACCATAAGGGATGTGTGAAATTGAGTCCACGAATCGGCTATGGCTGTAGAAACTCCCTTTTGGATCACCGATCGTGAAAGCCTGAGGAACCCGGAATATCGCAAGTATTAGGAGGAGCAACTCAGGCGATGGGGAAACTTGAGACATTTGGAATTCCCCTGTCTGATGGAGAACGACCGACTGTGTGCATGGGACTTTCACTGAGCTATAACTAGCGATCCTAGGATCTCCGACTATCCTAACACCAATAATACCCAATATTATATCTCTTCGGGTTTCGTCGCTATCAATACCGATTTCCCTCCCTTCTATCGCCTCCTTCCGTATCACCAGCACACAGTAGTACTGTGGAATTCCATAGCTCGGTACTGGCCCCACATGTCGTGCGAGGAGTGTCGGCAATACCAGGCGTACCGAGCTTCGGGGATCATCCGACGAACCTAAACCGAAGCCGAGCAGCGAATGCACAACCTCCGCTTGAGACCAACCTCGTCAAATTCCGAAGCCAGTTATGAGCGGCGTCGACAACTGTTTAGACAATGCGACAGCCATAGCGTCCCGCCAGGCCACCAAATACAAGACCGACCGTGGTGACGCAACCAACGGAGATGGTAGTCCCATTCCCCCAAAGCTAAAACGCCAGATATGACCTACGTTTACCATCTTGCACAATTGTCCCTGAACTTATCACCGGAGATCTCAGTTCCGACTTTGGACTCCACCCCCACTTTCCTAAAATCCTTGGCACACCCCTTTTTCGCACTTCCAGGCCCCCATTCCACTCCGACCAGGAAGTCGCGTCGGGCGTGAGGTTGGGCGTCACAGCATTACCACCTTATAAACTGTCAGATGACCCCTGTAGGAGGAACTGGGGGCACTGTCCTCCTCATTATGATGTTGCCCTCTTATCAATCTGTGCTTACCCTATGAACGGGGAATGCCCTGTTCAGGGAAGGTAGAACAGCCGTTCATGCTTCCCTGGCCGCATGAACAGCTGTTCACAAGGAGGGCAGGATCGGTAAGGGGGGGTTTTGGCATCATGGCATGCTGTAATTGTACCCCCTCATCAAGAAAACCTAAAAAAATGAATACAAGGGGGGAGGGGGGGGGAGGGGGGGGGAGGGCAGGCCCTGGGGATGTCCAATGGGAAACAGTCAATCAATCACTGAATCAATCAATAAATTAAGCAATTCATCTGGGATCAAGGCTGATTAATTCGGCAGGCAAATTGTTACATGCTGTTGTTTTTTTTTTTCCTTTTTTTTCTTAATACAGGGATGCAACTCCCATATCCACCGTCCACGAGTTCAAGTCGTAGTCTAAGAGTATTTTCAACGAACGCTTTTTTCGTAGTTCGTTTGTCACGCAACTTCAACTTCCTATACTAGCAGGCAAACACAACAAAAAATCTTTCAAATTGTAAATAATTGCCATCTTTTTTTCGACAATGTGCCAATGGTTATTACAATCCTGTAGACCTGTGTGTGCACCAGACACGAGGGCAGTCACCTGTGCTGCATTTGGATGACCAGCAGCAGCCACTTTGAGTACAAGTGCGGCTTATCACCTTCCGCTTCTTGCATCAGCGATATGCACTCAACGTGCCGCGTCAGCAATCTGTACTCGGTATGACACGTGGACGATATGGAAGCAGCCTCTCATAGATAGGCGATCATCCATCAGCAAGCAGAATCGGCGGCAGTTTCCCGTCTCGTAGAAACCAGGTACGTACACACGACAACTCACATTACCCACACTCTCTCTCCCTCTCTCCTCATTCCCTTGCCGTCATTTATCCTTGCAACAATGACAGCCTCTCTCTCCTACACTCTAGTATTTGGCTGGCGCATGAAGCAGCATGACGCCGACGCTCACTCCTCAAGTCTCACGTGTAGCATCAAAGCCGCAAGCAACTGGCATGACTGAATGACCAGGGAGTGGCGAGGTCAACTTCTTATAGTGTTGACTCGCCTGTCTTCAGTCAGCGTCGGTCCGTGTGAGGGTCCGGATCATCCGATTTGTCCCAGTTTCAGTCAGGACTTCTTGAGGCCTGAATCTTCCGGTACGTGCAGACCACTGCTAGCTCATTCTATATCAACGGCCAGGAAATCTTGTGTGTTGACTTTGACTTCCCAGATCTGACTGTTGACTTTTCAGTCAACTATCGTCCAGGGCCATTTCCAGGGCTTGTTTCACCCCTCGTTTTCAAGGTCTACCCGTTTGTGCTTGTATGTGGGCGCGTCGAGAGCCCAGCGACTCAATTTGTCACACAAGTTACAGCATTCCATCCTGCCCGTTTTCTAGTTCCACCAAATAAATTTCGTTTCAGGGATTATTTGTTCTCAGACTTCTCTCGTATGCATTGACAATGTCGGGGGCAGTAGGTAAGAGTTCTGTTTTGCTAAACTAACGAGCTTTAGACGACGGTTGATTAGAAAACTTTACCTTATATTGGTTCTGAGGTCTTCCTCTAG